CGGTTAGATCCTCTGCAGCTGGAGTTATAGGCAGTTGTGAGCCGCCCACCATGGGTGAAGAGAACTGAATTCAGGTCCTCTGGAAGAGCAGTACACACTTTTAACTGCTGACCAATCTCTTTAGCCCCTCAATTTCATTTTCATATACCTTTTTTGCTTAGACAAGGAAATATTAACTATACTAATTATAACTACTATTTAATTTCTTACAATCACAAGCATTAAATTTAATCTTGAGTATATATATATATATACACATACATATGTTAGGAAATGATTTGTAGCATCAAAAGTTGGGCAATGCAATGATGACATATGACTATATTACATTGCTCTAAGATTTTTAGCCCAATCTGATTTTGATGTTTATGTCTATAAATTATAATGAATTATAGATGCTTATATCTATAAATTGTGGGCTTTATACCACAATTTTAACTATGTATAAAAGGAAGAACATACAAGTGATTATTTTCCAGTTTCAACTTGCATTTAAAACTGGTAGAAAAATAATTTTACAATTTGTAGCCTCATTTTTAAAGACAACTTTAACTAATGACTTAAAACAACATAATTTCAAGTGCTATAAATGACATGCCCATTGTCAACACCAGGCTAAATGGAGAAAAGTTTGAAGCTATCCCACTAAATCAGGAGCAAGGCAAAGTTGTCCACTCTTGTTACACACAAATACCACAGTTCACATGTAAAGGTACAAGGACAACACAGGAATTGGTTCTCTCTGTCCACCATGTAAGCTCCAGGAATTGAATTCAGGTCATCAGGCTTGGCAGCAAGCACCTTTACCGGCTAAGCCATTTTTCCAGCCATTTTGACTGCTCTTTGGATTGGAGAGGGAGGGGGAGAGGAGTGGGGGGAGGGGAGAAGGGTAGGAGGAGGGGGAGGGAAATGGGAGGCTGGGAGGAAATGTAAGGCTAGCTCTTACATATTGTTCTAACCCATTTCTAATATTCTGTGTAGTCCACGAGGTGGCTTACCAGGGAGGATCTTAACCTGCGTCTGTCTGGAGTGGGGACTGGTGACTCTTGTACCACATAGTGGCCTTTTAAAGGGTGAAGAATTGTGGAACGTCTGAGGGAGCGACAAACTCAGGCATCTCCAGGCAAGCACCCCAGTGACCATGAGCAGTAACTGCAAAGCCAAAGTGAATGAGAAGCGTGCGCAACAGTCCATGAGGGATGTTGAGGATCTGGGCCATAGAGACAGCAAGGCGGACAGGCCTGAGAACCAGCCCAAAGATCGCATGTGACAGCTGGTTATACAGGGAGGAGAAATGAAAGAAAATGGCTACTGTGGTCATATAAATAATAATGCAGTGGATTGAGTCGGGGCAGCTAGAAATGAAGCTAGCACAGGCCAAGGTAAAATGGGAGGCAAGAATAATTTACTCCTGGTGTGTTGAATTTGAATCACTAGTGTGACAGTCATATAGAGATGTCTACCAAGCCATCAGCCATGATTTCTGAACCTCAAGGAAAAGATGGGTCTAGAGATTTGGACACACTTATTTAGAAGTATTCATAGACTTCGTGTGTGCTTATGAGGTGCCCAGGAGAGTCATGAGTCAGGGAATGGAGGGAGAAAGAACAGTCTACCGAGAAGACTGTGAAGAAGTGGACAGAGGGGAAAAAGGGAAATCGGGGGGGGGGGGCGCACAAAAGAGAAAACAAAGTTCTACAGAGGAGATCAACTGTGCTATGTACACCCAGAGGATATGTAGTCCTTAGAAGTCTGCTGCTTAGGGCAATGGAACAGCCACCAATATAATTTTAGAAAAGATGGCAGAAGTAGAAACCAGATGACTAGCGGCTGAAAGGGAGAGTTTGACTCTTATCCATTGAGCACACATGGCTCCGGGAATTGGATGGGGAAGCAAAGAGGAGGATGTCAAGTCATGGATGTGAGTGACCCGACTGCATGGATGAGCTGGGACAAGGACCAAACTCCGTGATCAAATCGAGAAAAGTGGGAGTGAGGACTTCAGTCGGTAGGAGGGATCCATCATCATTTCGAATACCAAAACAGAAGAAAGGGGATGATTTTTTTTAAAACTAAAAGATGAAACATGGAGATAGGCAGCAACTGGATGCCTCTTTTCTTGACGAAGCTAGCAGCAAGCTCTCCTGGGAGGAGGAGACAGGTGCAGACCGCAGGCACGAAAAGGATGCTAACATTTAGAGAGCATCGCTGAGAAGAATGGAAGAGGCACCAGAATAGGAACAAGCAAAAAGAGTGTGAAGACATCTGGGCATCTGCCTGGAGACTGTAATGCTGTCTACAAAGCGAATTTTCGCCCACATTCCTCAAGTGTGAGGAATGAAAGCAGAAAGCAGGGAGATGTGAGGCCCTGGCAGACCCCAGCTAGCATCCTGCCCTTCCTCCTAGTCCCCTTTTCTTCCCCCTTCCCATTTCCCCTCCTGTTAGAGTCTTTAGGGTACTAGAGGGAGCATTCACAACTTGTATTAGTGTTGCTTCTAATGTCACAGATTTAAAAGATTCCCAAATCTTATTCTTTATTGTGAGTTTGAGTTCTGTAGGAAAATAACACACCAGCTCGAACCAGAGCTCCCTCGTTGAGTCAGGTGGACCATGAAGTGAGAATCACCTGAAGCTGCTCAAATAAAGATTCAAGCCCATCTTCCCTGCGATTCCCCCACTGTCAGGAAGATGGCAAATTGGAAAATGACTCTGTTATAAGTAAAAGGTGTAAAAGCTGTGTAACAGCGAACAATTCTTTGCTTTTAACACCTTAGACTTCAGAATAGAGCTTGAAATGTACAGATATTCATCACTTAGCTACTTTAATGTTATTGCTTTGAAGCTTTTAATCACTGCCTTTAAAAGTTCCCCTCAAAGACATTCACTTTGGATGAAAGCCCTAGAATACAATGTCGTTCTGGAACAGCCGGTTTCCATCAAGCGCTCTGCTCCTTAAATTGTGAAAAACACATTGATTATACTGCCAGGCATTGCTAAAAAGTGTTCTGCATCATAAAAGAGCCGGGAGCCCCATTTGTTATCATTTAAATTGTAAGACGCACATTTGATAGAAACAGACTGAAGCTCACCGGAAAGATACCACAGTGAAGCAATTCTGATGCTCTCTTGAAACCCGTGTTTTGGCGGCACCCTAATCTAAAATGAATCTTTTTGTTGGCCCCTGAGCAAATGCTGGCTGCATACTTCCTGCCACATTCTTGGCAAGAGAAAAAAAAAAGTTTGGCTATCTCAGACCCAGAGAGTGGTATTGAATGCGATTAAACAAAATGACAGGGATTCTAAAAAGTGTCTTAGTCATTACATAAGAGCAAAGCCCCGAGGCTTAAGGGATGGTTTTAGTTGCCCACGTTTCACGCAATGGAGTTGTCTCTGTTTTCCTCCTGGGAGACATGGAATGCACTTCAGAGATGGAAACCTATTAGTCTTGACCAAACTAATCCTAAGCTCTGTCCTGTTCAGAGCGAGCACAATCTGCCTGATAGCAAAGTTAATGCCAGTTTGGAAGCTGAGTTTTGGGCCTATGTTTCTGGGAATTTGACATTTTTTCAGCCAAGTAAGAGAAGGGAAGCCAGCGGTGCCCCTGTGGTCCAAAATTGAGGTTAGAGGTATTGAAAGATATACATTTTCTTCTCATCTTTTCCTAATTCTGCTGCAAACGGGAGAGAGGATGGGTACTGAGTTCTGTGTATTCTGGGATATAAGAATACAGAAAGATAACACACAAAAGTTGGAATTTATTCAGCTGGCTTTTGTGACATAAGAATAACTTTGTTTAGCTGACATTTTCTGTAGTCTCTTGTAATATTCCATTGAAGTATAGATGCTAGGTTTCATAACTATATTAGTTTCTCAGCTCTGATGGAATATTCTGGAAGGAACTTACATATTGAGTGCTGTTATAGTTTAGATTTTGAACTTCCCCCGAAGGCCTGAGTGTTGAAGACTTTGTCCTCTGCCCATGGTGCCAGTGGGGAGGTGACAGGACTCTTAAGAGGTAGAGCCTTGTGGAAGGAAGCCATGTCATTTTTCACATGCTACTGAAGGGAAGCCTAGTCCCCATCGGTCTGTGACTAGTCTTCCTCCACCATGACATCCCATGATGCCACAGGAAAAAGATGAGAGATTTGAACAAAGGCACTGGCAGTGAAGGAGTGTCAGAGAGATGCAGATAGACAAGGGAAGGGGGACACGGAGTGACAGCCTCCTGTTCCTAGAAGATGTCACATGGAAAGATGGTTTAGATGTGGGGGCTGGTGTCTAGGCAGAACCAATCTGCAAACGGAGAGAACCATGTGCGCAGGCATAAGATGAAAAAAAAAAATTAAAAGGCTTTCACTGTGCCATTATTTTTACATCTTTCCATTGGATTTATTGCTATCATTAAATGTTTAACTTCGACACTGCCAAAATTGCCCCATTATACAAATTCTTATGGAACTTGTCACTTCTCCCAAGATGAGAAGTCTCTTTACTCTGAAACTGAGGTGGCCCCAGACACAGGGTTGAAAGCAGGATGTTGGCAGCATGACACTATATGGCATCTGAGCCTAGGTTGGAAAATGCCATACATTGTTTTCCAGGATCTCATAAGACAACAAGCTGTGGCGCTCTACGCTTCCAGGTAAGAAGTCTAAAACACAGCGCCATGGGGAAGCCCAAAGCAAGAAACACAAAATTACCTGCAAAGGCCCCAAGGCTCCAAAGAGAAAGAGCAAAAGTTTCTGGGGAGTCCTCAGCAGCATCAGCTCCCATTCAACAGCACTTACACAGGATGTGCCAAAGAACTTCCAAGGCAAGCTATTTGCAAGTTCTTGACACATAGAGACAAGAGAAGTGATAAATTGTTGCTGCTTTAAACCACTAAATGTTGTCTGGTGTAATATGTTACATAGTATTAGATATCAATCAAACTCCCGCTGCCTGTCTTAGGGAAGGGATTTATTCAAGAGGGATCATTCGGTAGATCTGTAGACTACTGCTGGAGTCTCCCTTTATCTACAAGGGACACAATTTCCCCAGGTAAGAGGAATGATGGGGGCTCACAGTCGTGTTCCTTTCCTATGAACCTTCAGCCAAAGTGAAGGCGAGTGTATCATGCCCCCTTGGCTGTGGAGAAACCATAGCTGACTGGGTGGTACAGCAGTCAAAACTCTGTCCTCTTTGTGATAGCCCTAGCCCGCCAGAGGAGCAGACCACTAGAATGTGTGACTTGCTTCAAAGAATGGCTCACGACCGATAGGAACTGAAAAGTACAACAGCTGTCTGCATGCTGAAGAAGCCAAGAACTGGGAGTCTCAATCCATGAAAATGGGTGCCTTAATAGACCTAATCTGATCCTGAAGTCACTGCTAATCTCAGTCCCCACTGGAATCCAAAGAAACTGGATTCTGACGTAAGCGAAGCAGCAGCAGCAATAGCAGCCCCAAAGATATCTGCATTCTCCAACAAGAAGTGAAGGCAGGCAAGCCATGCTGCTTTTCCCCAGACATCTTTGTATGTGGGTTGTACCTGAAGATGCCACCCACTCTGGTAGGGGAAGGTCTTCTCCCCCAGTGAACCCTTCCTGCAAATGAGAGGCCGGTCTTGTGGTATATCACAAAATGACTATGGAGATTATCTACTGCGTTGGCCAAGTTCAGATTGAGCAGAGGGGTCATTACAGACCTAGAGATCTTTGTGGGGCGAGTTGAAGGCTTGGATGCTTCACTCAGCTTCTTCCTTTACTCAGCCTACACCTTTTACCCCCTCAGATGTAACCCAGTGCACGTAAAACTCCATTCGATGGCTTTTTCTAGTAACCTTAGCTAAGCTACCATGAGTCAGACTCTAATTTCAGTGGAGAACATACTCAGCGTGACCTACCCAGGCTCTGAAACACTACCATCCCTGTTTTCACAGTAGACATAAATAGTAAAGAAACATTGATCCTTGCAATGACATGAACACAGTCTATGATCCATTGATTATCACCGATGGTCTGTAAGGCATTTTTTTTGCTTGTTCTGGAACCTGCTGGATATAATCTAATTTGTCCTGACCAAAGTATGTTTTGGTCTTAGGAGTTGGATGGGAGAACCTGATATTTCAGAAGACAATGCGTTGTTGTTTTGTTATTTGAAAGCCATTGTTTTGTGGATCAGCACCAGTAATCAAGCACTCGAAAGAAGAGCACACACCATCTTCAAATCTTGGTCCTCTTGACTATGCCGCATAATCTAAGCGACTATTTGCTGAAACTTCCTCAGGAAGATTTTTTTTTCCAGAAAAACTTAGGAGACTTGATGATGAGCTTGGTTCTGTTTTCCTGGAACTGAGAGATCCGTCTCTTATTTGATCTAGCAGTCTCCTTCCAGACGTGAGTCATGACTTCACGGAGGCTGTGGAAAGAAAGAGTTCAGAGGACGCAGCTGATGGCTGGAGGGAGGGGGACAGTTCAGTGATTTAAACCACAGGACATTTTCCGTTCTCAAGCCAGGTTCTATCTTCTACTTCAGGCATTTCATAATAAATTCATGAAGCTGTACTTCAAGAGTTTCCCCCACTTGTCTCTTCCGTGTTTGCAGCCTCTACTGAATCTTCACAGGGCCCATCTAGCAGCAGGAGATACAGATTTCTCCAAATGCCCTAAGTCTTTTGAGCCCAGTGTAGTAACACCACAGAAAATCAGCAGCAAATGAGAACACACACATGCGTATTAGCTGAACAAGGAAATTAGGAGCTGTTTTATATTACTTCACCAGCCTGGAAAACAAAGTAAAATACCATTATTTCTAAGATTAAGTTTCTTCAAGTTCATCTGTAGAAAAAAAAATAGTTTTCCCTTTCTGGGGTCTTCCATCCTAAGAGAAGCCCCCAAACTCAGAGGTATGTTCTGAGTTGAAGTGGTTCGGATTTGACGATCAAATCTTCCATTAGTGAGAATGAATGGAGCACCTTCCTTGGCCACCCCTCCTGGTTGGTATAGCCACAGGGACATGCCTACAAGGCCACAGCAGGTTTGCCAGTATTGACTCTACTCAAGAGAGAGCAGCACTGCCTCTTTCAGTTAAGTTTATTTTTTGTCATAAACGCATATGATTATCCTATATTATTAAAAAAAAGTTGAGAAGGAAGTGTTAACTACCCCCAATTTGATTAGCATACATTGTATAGCTGTGGCAAGTTATGGCACTGTATCTCACAACCTTGTACAACTGAAATAATTCATTTTAAAAATATACAAATACATTGATTATAAAAAAGATTACTCTTAGCCATACAACTCTCTTGAGACACGGAGTCATAGTGACACATACACACACATTCAGTCACCATCCCTACACCACTGATGATGCTGAGGAAGCCAAATAGTCAATATTCAACACATGTTCTACCTAGAATGGCAACCCCTTTCTACACTCCAGTTCCTACTTAGTCTGAATCAGTACACCCTCTCAGAAAACTGAACATGGAACACAGCACTCTAGGGGCGCATGGGTAGACAGGGTCCAGCAAACCAGCCCTGGGGCTGACAGTCCAGGTTCCTCTAAACCAATGGAAGAGCCTGAGCTTCACTAAGTCACTCACCATATAGCCCTAGGGTCCATGTCACATGATTCTTAGCAACCCAACATTCTCTTCCATATTCTTTCTCAATAATCAAAATATGATTCTGTTATCCTAACACACATTGGCTTTATTTCCCACCACACATCAGTTGCGTATAGCTCAAGTCTTAAAGTCAATACCCAGAATTTGTCTGATTTGGTCTGAATTGATCGGATTTGGTCTGTAGGGAGTCTTGTTCTTCTGTCATGTTAATACAGCATGATGATTCTGGAAGCTCTCCAAAGAGGTCCTTCACATCTGCAATACTTCCCTCTATATTCACAGTTACCACAGTTATTACAGACGTTGGGGGTACAGCTATCTCCTCTCATGGCCCCCTCCAAAACTTCCAACTATAATGCTATGTTGATGGTCATAGATGATGGCCACTAAAGATGTGATATGGTGAGCTCCTGCCTGGCCAGGACCTTACATATGACGAGGCTATTGGAGGGTCCCAGTGATGGCACTTCAAGCATTGCCCCACCAAGGGAGGCAGTTTTTCATCAGTACCATATCCAGAGCCTGAACTGATGGCATATCATCTCCAGGAACTAATACCTTTTTCCCATCTCTCTTCAGTCTTCTCTGGATGTAAACTAACACACCCAGGGACAGATGCACAGGCATACCTCTTTCCCAGAATTCACATCGTAAAATTTGTACACCGTGATTCATTCCAGCGTTAGGGCTTCTTCTTGCCTAGCGGGCATCCTGGTCATCCGTGGAATCTGAGCTATGACAGGCTCATATTGTCCTTTAGGCCTTCAAGTGCTTGCCAGAGAACAGCAATACTTTGTCTTCTGCTGCTGACCTTCTACACATCTACTATGTTCTCCTGCATGTGATTAGCATGTGACCTGGGAGCTGAAGCTTTTTGATCAAGACTGAAGTCATTCCCTGGAGTTTAATGTGATGAAATAGGAAGCCAGCAGAGTCTTTCCTAAGAAGAAGGAGAAAGGTTTAAAACATAGTGCAGTTATAAAATAGCTAATGCCATCCCGCATCCCCACAAAATAGCCCTGTACGTACTTCTGTACATTCCCCCCTGCAAGGTAAATGGGCTAAATGACACGCAGTCTGTGGGAAGAGACTCCTAGGAAACAAGCCATCTATTTAAAGATAGCCTCCTCCACGGGCCAAGAGATTTAGGGAACTGCGTGAGTCTAAAGGAAAAAACTTCCACTTTCTAAAATCCATGGACAAGAACCTGCCGGCTTTACTCCTAAGGACTCGATTAATTAAACTTAAGCCCCCACAAACACCTCCAAATGCCAGCTCCAAATTAAAGAGCATAAATGCTCGTTTCTGTTTGACCTCTTTTCACCCATTTTAGCACCTGGCAGATTTGTGGGAAGGAGCAGTGTGCTGATGGAAGAGAAACGGGTATTAACGAGCAGGCAGGGAGGATAGAGCGGTCAAGGACAATCTCAGGCTGATACAGTTTCTAACTTCTCTTTTCATCTTTGACCTCCCCTGAAGCTCCTCTTGCCATAAGTTCCTCTTTTACTTTCTCATCCTTTTTAAAGAAATCTCTTACTGTTTATCCTCACCTTGAACCGCTTCAACATCTTCTGCCGCAGGGGTGTGTTTGGGATAAGAAATTCCTTTGAAGTCCATCGAAGTTTCTCTGCTGAGGATACTTGCCCTTTGGAGAGACGTTACAACCATGCAGTGCAGTTCCATCTCAAAGCTCGCAGTTTAGAGCCAGGCACAGAGGGGGCACTGTGCTGGTTCGTCAGACACCCACACTGCAACTGCTCAGCATGGCCCTTCAGCCCTATGCTTTCCCGAGAGGCTATCCAGGTGGAAAGGTCAGAGTCTGAGATTTCTCCAGTTCCCATCTTCTAAACTCCTCATTAAAAGGTAATTCATAGTCTGTCATAGTCTACAAATTAATTTATTAAACCACCTTCTCAGGGAAGTGAAGGAAACAGCACAGAACAGAAAGGTTTTTCAATGCTACTTCTTGGGCAGAGGTTTAGAAATAAAATACTGTAGGTGACCTGGAAAGATGGAAGTACAAGAATTTCAATTATATTATAGTTATAATGTAGTTATAGTATAATATAATATGTTATAATTGTATTATAAGTGTTAATTAAAACACCACAATAGGTGTGCATTATTTAGGCTATTTTTTAACATGAAAAAAAAATTGGTAAACAATTTGTCTTACCACTTGGAGAGCCGAGAGTGAGAGCCAAGATGGTCAGGCCAGTAAATCTGGATG